GTTTAGCTGTTTAGGCTACAAACTCTACCAAACATCCATCCATCCAAACATTCGCATTTACAATATTGGTAAGATAAACAAAACCGTATATTTATATTAATAAAGACAAAAAGTAACTTAAATTCAAGCTATTAAGTTATCAGTTTCAAATAACAATTATGTGCCTTCTAAATACAACACAAACGGTATTAAAAAAAAAACTGTACAATAAAAGTATTATCTTACGTTTTTATCAGTAATTACTTCTTTCATTTAAATCTAACTTAGAAGCGTCAAAGTGAAATTGGTATAATAGTTATTTTAATGGAATCAGAGTCTATATAAGCCTAAATATCTCCAGGACCTCTTACTTCTGTATTAATTTCCGACACAACCAGTATGAAAACTGTAAAGAAACAGTGGGTTATATTTCATACAAGAATGAAACACATGTGCCGTAATTTAACCGTCCACGGACCAAGTTTCCTCGCTCGAAGAGATATCGCCTTTATTTATAAGTTTGTCTACTTCATTATATACGTTCAGATCTGGATTATCGCTGTCGCTACGATCGTGAAATATTACGCCACGTATGAAGAAAATACAATCAGGTTCACAACTCACACTGATTATCTTCACTGGAATATCACTTTCCCATCAATTACTGTGTGTGAAATTGCTGATACAGAACAGATAAGTCAAAAGAATCATAATGAAATGAGAATTCCTACGAATTTAATTAAAGAATTAACATTCTTCAATGGAATATGCCATTCTTGCTTCTCTTACTCTCAAGATTTGTCTCAAAATCAGACAGTGAATAAAATAATGTCAAGTTACCACACGGAATGTAAAAAATTATTCGCCTCATGTAAATGGAATGACCGATATATCAATTGTTGCAACGCTTTCAAACCAGTTGTTAATGAATACGGAACTTGCTTTACGATTAATAATAAACATGCTTCAGGACATTCTTTACATGTTGCGACATCGAAAGAAAACATCGTCGATAAACTAACGTTAACGTTATCAAAGAATGCTGAGGGTTTTCTCCATTCCCCTGAAGATGTACCATTTTGGAATATGGAAAACGACAGACGAACAACAATCGCAAATGGTGCTGAAGCAACAATGATATTTTCAATTATTGATATTGTAAATGAACCAGAAGTTTCTCTTATGTCAACTTATGAACGCCAGTGCAGATTCCCCGAAGAACTTCCACCCAATTTTAAAGTCTTTCAAAGATATAGCTACTCGGCTTGTATCATCCAATGTCGTATTGATAAACAATTAGATCTTTGTAACTGCACTCATTATACTTCGCCTCTTATTTATTACGATAGATACTGTGACTTAGAAGGTTTGAGATGTCTGACGAAGAACTATTCAAAACTGATGAAGCTTAAAATCCCAGGCACTAATGAGACTGGATTAAATTGTGATTGCTTACCATCATGTGTTGAATCTGATTATAATATTGTATCTAATAAAGTAAGTGATACCAAAACAATGCATCGAGGAGCTAAAATTCAGTTTAAATTAAACAATAAGCCCTTTGAACGCATCACTCGACAAGTGGCTCGTACGGCGTTAGATCTTGTTGTTGCTATGGGTAGCTGTTTCGGGTTATGTTTTGGAGGTTCTTTACTTTCAATTGTTGAGATTGTTTATTACGTATTCTTAAGACGATGGTAATGTAATTCGTCTACTGTATATATTTTCTACAAGCGTGGAGATAATTGAAATTTTAATGTAATTTTCTAGTAATCTTTTTAAAAGTGATAAATAAGCTTGTTGAATAAGTCCTCTTTGTTGTTTGTAGATTACTTCTTTTGTAAATACCAATGCGCAAAGTATTCATTTGAAATGAAGTTTAACATCTGTACCTATTGTACGCTATGGTAGAATATCAACTGCAAAGTTCTGCTTGACAATAGCAAACGCAAACAACCACGAGTACAATGCATTGCAAATACATATTTAATTTTTATGAAACTTTAAATATGTCCCAGGCGTACGCTACGACGAACAAGTAAGTCTAGAAAAAAACTTTTCATCTACATATTTTCTTGTTTATACAACACTAGAGTGTTGTGTTTTAATATCTAATGAAATAAATTTAAATATCCTGATATATATCATAAAATTATTGTTGACTTCACTTTAAGTATGATAAATTTAGTTAGAGCCAAAACTTTACCTAAAAATAGTAAATTTTAAATTAAAAATGTTAAACTCCTTATTAATATTTTTTTTACTTATAGTTAATACATACAGCGTTGTATATTTTCTGTTGCCATAGATTTTGAACACCCAATGTTTGTCAAAAAGAAACGTTTTTTCTGCGGCAACTCGATTTTGCATTGCCCCTATTTCACACAGTTTGGTCGTGTTCGTTAGATCAACAAGGCTGGTTGTACGGATTGTTCGGGGCTTCACTTGCAAGCTCTATTCAAACTTTGTTATTACACTCGTAGTCCCCGCTAAGCTGTACACGAAACTTTACAATCGCTAAGAGCTTTTTGTGATTTTAAGACGACACAAACCACGTCCAATTTTAAAGTCACCTTTACAAAGTTGTGTATTTTTATAATAATAAAACCTCACATTGGGGAATACGGCGTAATGTATTTGTTATTTTCAACAATGTTAAGTTAATTATAAAAACCTTTGTAGAAATTTTAAATAAAAATGTCTTTTTGAAATATTTTGTTTTCAGTAGAGTTTTTAACTAATCAAAAATTCAGAGATACACTTAAGTCTTTTATTTAACCATAGGTAATGTAATACTAAAAATTACCCTTTATAATTACTATCGTAGTTTACTTACTCAATTCCTTATTATAACGTTTGAATTATTCATAGTATCGAACGACGTAGACGGCATTTCTTTTACGTGCTCCCTGTTCGAGGGGAACAGCTAAGCCATGGTATAATTTTGATATTACACTAATACCTTTTTTGATAAATGTATATTTCTCAAGAGGATTTTTTAACATTATGAAATAGAACCTTTTGACTTCGACAACGTCCGCGCGGATTAAAGTAAAAAATTAATAAGCAGTCTTCTTCTTTTAGGCTACATCTTTGTCTTTGGCAAATTTTATTGATATACTCTAAACTGATTTGAAATTTCGTAGTAAGTAATGATCCTGATAAAAGTTGCTATGTAGTAATTCTTTTGTTTATATTCTGTGCATTGGATTAATAACCGTATGCTCTACTAATAAAGTTGTTTTCTATACAAGCGTAATTTATAAAAACGTTTCCCTTAGTGAGCTCTACAAAAATTTTAAACTTTAAAACAGTACTCGAACTTTGTAATTTTTAGTATTGCGGCAATTTTTGTTTTACCAATTATATAAAACTGTTTTCATTTATTTCATCCTTGTGGTTTTATCCGATTTTGTTTTAAAGATACAAACCAGATATAATTATGTTTTTAATTTAATATTTTATTACCAAAACTTAGTAAATCGAATTTAAAATAGTAACTTGTATATCGACCGATTAAGTCCCACTATTTATATGTTAACCTGCCAAATTAAAAATAAACATGTCGTAGATTTTGTCAGCCGCTATTACTATTATAATAATCTAATTATTTTATATTTTGAAACTATTAATAGTACACCCTTCATAGTCTCTAGTAAAGCGAAGCTGTCACAAACAATCAAACAATATTGCACGACTGCTAACTTTTCACATTTACCACGGCCTCAGAAAATATAAGCAAGTTTTATTACATTACGCCCGCTGCTCGCGCTTAGACGGGACAAGTCATGTAAACTTTTATTCCCAACAGAATGGTACAAATGTCATTAGTAACTAACACGTATCATAACATCCAAACAAATAAAATTATTTAAATGGAAAAATATTGAACACAAACCCAATTTGAAAACTTTAGAAAAAGAATCTCTAAGAAAAAAAACAATTGAGAATAGTATTAAATGAATTAATAAATTAATGAATCATGGTTTGTTAAAAACTAATTTAAAAAAAATATCTTTTTATTTATCACTTCATCTTAAACTATCTGTTGCTCGTGACTTCGTTTGCGTGTAATTAAAATTAATAAAAACATACCCTATGTTACTTAGTAAAAACGTAGCTTTAATGGTGAAAGAATTTTTTAAAACGTCACGGTAGTTTAGGAGTATGTAAGTATAGATTAAGAGTGACAATAAATAACTTAAAGAAAGGTTGCATATTAAATCAATGTTAGTGTTCCATAAAGTGTTATAAAGGTTTTGATACAACGAGCCATAACGAGGTAAAGCTTGCTGCTGTTTATGAACGTGCTGTTAATAAATGATCTCCGGCACCCGACATGTTAGTGTGAAATTCACTTAACTTAGCAAAGTGACTTTTGATATTGCTTTTGTTATATTACTGTTGAAAATTAAAAACTAAACAAAACCAGATAAATGATACCAAGCAACCGAACCGATTATATATAGATTTTATTTATTTCTTTTAATACGAAAAAAACTTTCCAGGTATTTTTTACACTTTGCAGAATTTTCTTTACCAAAAATACAAATAACAACTCACCAACTTTGACTTATATCATGACATATATTCTACTTTGACAAATATATATTTGATATCTAAGCTATATAAATATCAAGTTCCATTATTAATTTGCTACGTTAACTTTACGTCTTAACTTTTTTCAATAAAAATAATAATCAATATTTCTTTTACAATAACAGTCTTGAAAGTTAAGACTTGTTAAATCCACTCAAACGAAACATTGAACAAGTGATAACTACCATCAGAGCGAGCGCACGTCTTAAACTAATCTATCGCACAACTGTTGTGCGATTGTCTATTATTTCGCAAACAATTCAACTGTTTAGTTGCACAACTAAAAAACGAATAGCGCACCTCCATATAAGCTTAAAAATCAAGGCGAGACTAAACAGTTCTACAATAGTTTCGTTTCAGGTGTACGCTCTTATTGATATGGAAACTTTTAATTGAAGACTCTCAATGTCTTTTTGTTCCAGTGTCTGACTTTACAACGCAGCTATCGCAACTGTATGAACGGCACTCAGCTGAAATGCAAGCACTCGTCGCGAACTTTCGTAAGAGGAACAGCGAGCTGAGGAAAGAGAGGTTAGTATTTTTAATTAGCTTAATGTAATAAACGAAATATATACCGTGTTGAGTTTTACACGAACGAAAAGTGTTTTTGTAATAATAAAAGCGTATGCTGTACTTTAAAAAAAATTGACGAATACGTTAAATATAACAGTAATACTAATCAATTATATTCGATGTTCACATGTTTTTCTGTTCAATTAACGTCACCTCAACGTTAATTGAATTTTAGTAATCACATAAAACAATCAATTCCGTACTTGTTTGTCAACCAAATGTTATTCATTTATGTTTAACTATAATATGCTACTTTATCTATTACGAGCTGTTGCCCGCAACTTCGTCCGCGTGGTATTAGAAAACATACTAACTATATGAATTAGAAAAAGCTATGTACCCCTCGGGAACCGGACATTTCTTGGGGATGAATATGTTATTGTGTACTCCAGACATTGTTTTATGTCTGAGCCAAATTTCAATAAGATATGTTGAACCGTTGCAGAATGATTGAGTAAACATTAAAAAACTAAATCAATGAATCCCACGGGAACCGTAACTATTCCCCGGATAAAAAGTAGCCTATGTGTTCTTCCAGACTATGCTCTAAACCTGTGCCAAATTTCATGGAGATCCGTTCAGCCGTTTAGGCTACAAACGCTAACAAACATCCATCCATCCATCTATCCATCTATCCATCCATCTAAACTTTCGCATTTATAATATTAGTAAGATTATTATTTTATATTTACTATATTACATGCATCAAAAACAATATTTTTATAAATAAAGGCATAATTTAGTGATCCAAAACCTGATAGTATAGTGGTTACTGTATATTATCTATATATTATAGTCGAGGTTTTGGCACAAAAAATGTTTGCTAAATATTACATTGACAGAACTTAATATTAAAAATTAAAGTTTAGTAATCATTTTTCATAACAGAATCGCTTTAAATATCGTCACATAGTTATCGTTAGTAAAAAAAGAACTGTATTAATTTATAAGTGAACAGCGACACACGAATATACCGGAAGAACTCATTTACAGCAAAGGCATTCTGTTTCTCGCAGTATTCAGTAATGAAATGAAATCTTCGCGAATGAAGTGAGGAAAAGCTTTTACATGTTTCCGCAGGAACGCACTAATTTATCCAAAATACCATTGCCAGCTCCGTATTTTCATAATCCCTTGAGTACACCTGCTAATCGTAAAGACATTTTCTTTATTTGCTTCAAAAAAACCTTTAAAACTATTTATACTAATGTTTATAAAGAGAAAAGATTTGTATTTTTGTACTTTTTGCAATAACTCAAAAACTACGAGGCCGATTTAAAAAATACTTTCACCGGTAGAAAGGTAATTTATCTGTTTAACATAGGCATATATATTAAAATTTCACGCGGACAAAGTCGCAAGCAACAGCTAGTAGCTGTAACAAGAAAAATAGGCGCATCATGCTGAAGAAACATAATTTGAATTACATCAAACAAAAGGAAAATGTCGTATAAACAGAAATAAAGAGGGTTCCTAAAACACAATACAAATGTAATGTTCAATAACACAAAATATACTTATTTTTATTGATACTAGTTTGTCCTGTCTAATAGATTTATAATGCATCAGTCTTTTTTAAAAAAACACCTAATGTATTTTACATCGTTTACGCGATAAGAGAGAAAACAGCAAGACAGTTTTACTGCACAGCGTTAAAAAATATACGCTCGTCCCTAATTGGTACCTACGTCAAGGTATCAACCATTTTATTCTCGTCACAAGACATTTTTATTACCCTAATGGTACCTCAAGCGAGAGACAAAAAGGCGAAAGCGATGGGGAAAATACTTATGTATCTACCAACGTCACGCTAAAATTGCTATACGGGATGAAATTCATTTATTTAGGAAAAAGGGTCCTACAACGTCTTTTTATATTAAAAGTAAACGAAGTCGAACGCAGCAATTCACGTAAATTGTGACACAAACAAAATAAATTCTAAATTCACTTTGAAAACCTAGAAAATGCGTAACATCGGAAATACAATAGCATGCTTGTGTTGGGCCTAATTTTAGCCCCTTTCCCTTTCCACTCTTTTCTAAAGAGGAAAGGATTGGAAGGAAAAGTGGATTTGACGGTGGAGGAGACGCATAGGAAGGGGAAACGTCTATTTTAGTCCCTTTCCCTTTCCACTCTTTTCTAAAGAGGAAAGGATGGGAAGGAAAAGTGGATTTGACGGTGGAGGAGACGCATAGGAAGGGGAAACGTCTCCTCCTCCGTCAATTAAGGGTAGGCAACGCATCTGCAATTGCGGATGTTTATGGGCAGCGTTCGCTTTCCATTAGGGTGGATTGAGGTGGCCGCTTGCTCGTTTGTCACCTTATATAAAAAAATATAAAAAAAAAATTAAAGCTTTTATGATATTTCAGAATTTTTACAAACCGACTAATGAAAATTCGTATCAGTTTAAAAATGGTTCCAAGTTATTACACGAAAGAGTTATTTCCCTGCTGCTCTGTCAGTGTCCATAGCTTCTATCTGTATTGCCCAAGTGACTCGTTAGTCTTGTTATTCTCCCATTATTGAGCTTCGTATCAGAATTTATGTTGTCCGAGGAAAGTATACTAGCTTTTTAAAACAAGTAAAATAGAACGTAGTACATTCATGACTCCTAATGGGCAAATAATTTTGTTTGCTCGTTGCGCTAAGAGGTATTTTAGGAATTCACCTAAAAGACATAAAAACAAAGGTTGTTAATACAGAACAAGTATTCATGGACAGGTATTTTACAAACGCCGGATTAAAGGCTGAAAATATAAAATTTAAGACCAAAGTAATTTAAATAAAATACAACAAACCCTATTTAATGTTTTCAAATAAAAATCATAGCTTTGAAGCAATTTTACCGATGTTAATAAAATACCTCTCGACCCGAAAAATTCAATTTAAGGTTGTGTTCTTTTTCTTTTTCATGATATTGTTTCAATTTAGATTATGTTTTAGGCTAAAACTTTAAAAAAAGTACCTTCTATATTGGTTTATAACCTATTTCTGAACTAACGTAACTATTAACTCGTTAATAAGATTAAAATTTAGTTAGTCTATTGATATTTCATTTATGTAAAAGTATTTGTCTTCGTATATTTTACTCCAGTTCTTTTGAGTATTACAAATAGCAACTCAATTCCAACGTCTCAAACGCTTTAACATGGCTTAGCTTTATTCCTGTTGTAATAGGTAGTATATTTTAAGCTGTTGAAATGAAATTCGCTCATCGTACCGACAAAGCCGTCGATGCGCCTAACTGATTCGATCACATCCATCCCTATTATCCCCCTCGCATCTTCTGCGTATCCGTACTCAATTGATGGAAATTGTAATTCGACTTGATTTTCAATATACTGAAATTCGCCCAGCGACAAATAAGGTAGAGTCATACAACCTTTAGACTCGTCTTTAGCAAACAAAATAATATTTTAAGAGACCTTGCAGATTATAGATAACGCAATAGTTTTTTGTTGTCGCGGGGAATGCATTTACGCACTTCACCGTCCATGCTGCGGAGGCAGCAGGGACAGTTTCGTGTGGGACTCCCGGCCTTAATCCCGCCCGGACTACCCACTAAACCCCGCGGTGTTCTCCTTCGCCCAACCGGGCCGTGGCATCTACGTTAGTTAGATAACTCAATAGTTTAGTCGGGTCGGGATATTAAACCAGAATAATAAAAAAAACAAAATCGTTGTAATGTAAACAACCTCATATGTAACTTAAAACTGTCGGTTTTTTTTAAATTTTTTTTTTTCATTATTTAATGTATAGTGGTTATTAATGTGGAATTATTGTAAAACAAGTCTTATTAGAAACGAACCGCCAGTTGAAAACACTTCTTCATTTCATTAGCGTAAGTTGAAATTAACTTAGAAGAGACTTTAAGGCTTAAATAGAAATTTCTTGTTCGCCAACTTTCCTTTTTAACTTTTAGCACCAAAAGTAATTTCTTTGTTGACAAATGTCGATCCATTTAAAGTTGGTAATTGATTGATTATCGACTTTCTGCGGTCAGACTTTTATTGGTTAAAGACTGTTTTAGTTATCTTAATTGCGTCGTTACTGGTTGACTGGAATCAGGTTTGGTAGAGTTCATTCAAAAAAAATAAAACGTGTGTCTAAATTCCGACTTCACTCGATTCTAGGAATCGAGGTTCATAAATAAGTATACCTTTATTTGTATCTCAAAACATCTGAAAGTTATCGAAATCTTACTAATATTATAAATGCGAAAGTTTAGATGGATGGATGGATGTTTGTTAGAGTTTGTAGCCTAAACGACTGAACGGATCTCGATGAAATTTGGCATAGATGTAGAGGATAGTCTGGAAGAACACATAGGCTACTCACTTTTGTTTTTTTTTTTAATTCCTCGCGAAGTTAGTCGCGGGCGAAAGCTAGTATATCGTATATAACATTGAAGCTAAACTTCCCAATATTTATAACGAAAATAGCATTAATTTACAGTCTAGAGACAGAATCTAATTTAGCTTTGCAGTCATCTGCAATCAACGTTAGAGATGTCTGTGACTTGAACTGTCAAATGACAAGTTAATTAGCGATCAAAATATCTATAGATCATATCCAAAGCTAGTTATAATAACTAATAATTAAACTTCGGTTACTTAATTAGATTATGATTTATTTACGAAATATTTTAATAGTGATAAAAGCAATCACTAAATTTTAAAAAACATAAGGTGAACAAATATTCTTATCCATATCTATTCTAATATTATAAAGAAGAAAGATTATATTTTTATATGTATTGAAATAACTCAACAACTACTGGGCCGATTTTAAAAATTCTTTCACCATTGAAAAGGTAATTTATACATGACTAGCTTTAGCCCGGGACTTCGTCCATGTGGAAATAAACAAAAGTATGTATCCTATGTGTTCTTCCAGACTAACCTCTACATCTGTGCAAAATTTCATCGAGATCCGTTCAGCCTTGTAGGCTACAAACT